CAGTGTCTGTGTCCAGCAGCCGGTTACAACAGGCCAGGCAGCAGATTATTTTATTTATCTTTTTCTTTAGTTTTTTGTTGTTTTTTTTTTTTCAAGACGGTTTCTCTGTAGCTTTGGAGCCTGTCCTGGAACTAGCTCTTGTAGACCAGGCTGGCCTCGAACTCACAGAGATCCGCCTGTCTCTGCCTCCCAAGTGCTGGGATTAAAGGCATATGATACCATCAGCTGGCTAGGTTTTTATGAAATTATTTAAGACTGAAGGGTTTACCATTCCTTGGTCTCCTTGCTTTGAAAATGGTGGAGAGCTGACCCGCTGACTAGGCCCCTACATGATAATGGTCTTTTTCCTGGTTCCCCCCAGTTGTCCTGCCCTGGCCACTGGCCCTTCATGTGCACTTAGGACTGTTGGGGGTTTTGTTTGAAAGCTTTGGTTTTTTTTTTTTTTTTTTTTTTTTTTAGCAGGGAGGCCCTATTGAATTGCTCTGACTCTGCCTGGGAAGGCTGGACCTCCCTTGGGTCTGTCTGGTTGCCTAGCATCCAGTAGTTGCCTGTAAGTTAACTCCAGAATCTGATTTCACCTGGACTCAGGCACCTTCCAGATTTTTCCCAGTAGCTCCAAGTCTCCACTTACCCCTCAAATAACCTGGCTAGAGCAGGAACGGGTGGGTCAGCAGACGGGGCTGCGTAGACAGGTCCCCTTACATAAGTGACTGACAAGGGTTGGGAGGTTTGAAGCTGGTTACTGAATAATCGGGGTGGGGGTAGGAATGCCTGGCCAGACCTTGACCATCACAAACCTTTACACAGCTCTCTCACTGACCGAAAAAACCCAAACAGCCTGGCAGTAGTGGCCCATGCGTTTATTCCCAGCACTTAAGTTTGGGAGGCAGAGGCAGTCCCATCTCCGAGATGGAGGCCAACCTGGTCTACAGAATGAGTTTCAGGACAGTCAGGGATACACAGAGAAACCCTATCTTGAAAAACAAAACAAAACCAAAAATCATCTTGGAATAGGACAGGAGCCATGGCTCAGTGGTGAAGAGAGCACTTGCTGCTCTTGCAGGGGCCTGGGTTCAGTACCCAGAACTTACATGGCAGCTCACAACTATCTAACTCCTGTTCTGGCCTCTGCGGGCACTGCATACACACATGTAGACACAGCACCCTCTTCTGGCCTCTGTGGGCATTGCAACATATGTTCCTAATTTCTGACTGGCTTTCTTGTCTGCGGGTTAGAGGGTAAAGACGTTACACAGGGAAGAAAACACAGACACAAGGAGGTCCCACGTGGGTGCACTTTTAATGGGGGAGGGGTAACAACGGGCAGGTAAAGGTGTGCTGACACAACAGGAGAGGCGGGAAAAAGAGAGGTCGTAGCGACCCTTGCTTTTTAACGAGGAATGCAAAGGCTTCTGGGAAATGTGTTCGTGGTCCAGGAGAACGCTGGGAGCTGTAGTTCTGCAAAGGAACAACAACATACCTGTAGGCAAAACACCTATTAAGTCTAAAAAAAAAAGTATGGTGAAGGACAGGCAGGTCTGGCTAGCAAGGGTTGCTTAACTGTAGAAGAGCCGAGGAAGTCAGGTGACGATGGCAAATGACCAGCACTCAGGAGGCACAGGCAGGTGGATCTCTAAGTCTGAGGCTAGCCTGGTCTAAAAATTTAAAATTAATAAGCACCTTTTGCACAGACACAAATTATAAGTCGCTCAGGTGTTTTACACTTTCAGGTGAGCAAAGACCCAAATGCTTTGACCTCACAGTGTTGTGACACTATGCAGTTTTAGAGAACAGGGACTCTTGGGACGTCAAAGTGGCCTGACTGACAGCACCGGCACACCTGGCCCTTTCTTCTGACCCCAGTTGACCCTTAGCTAATCTGTTTTCCTTTCCCAACTCTGTGTCACAAAATTCCTCATAATTTTCTTATGATTAAGATGAGAAAGAAACCCAGCCTGCCATCTTCTTACCCAGCTTAGAATGGTGGTTGCTGTCAGAGACGAATAAAACCTATCAGATAACAGTGCAATTGCACCTGGCGAAGGCTGCTCAACAATCATTGTATGCTGTAAATATGCTCTCATCATGAATAAAAAGCTGACTGGCTGCCAGGAGGTGATCTCTGTGAGTTTGAGGACTCACAGAGAAACCTTGTCTTGAAAAACAAACAAAAACAAAACCAAAAAAAAAGCTGATCGACCATTTTTTTTTTTTTATATTTATTTATTTATTATGTATACAGCACCCTATCTACATGTATTCCTGCAGGCCAGAAGAGGGCACCAGACCCCACCACAGATGGCTGTGAGCCACCATGTGGTTGCTGGGAATTGAACTCAGGACCCTTGGAAGAGCAGGCAATGCCCCCAACCACTGAGCCATCTCTCCAGCCCCCCTGATCGACCATTTTAGGCAGGATTTTTGGGCAGATAATTCTGGGAAGAAGAGCAGAGTCAGAGGAGTTGCCTGACAGATGAAAAGAGGACAGGGCATGCAGGAGAGGTAAAAGTCACGAGATTCGTGACAGCTCATAGAGTAATAGAAATGTGTTTAAATTGTAAGAGCTAGTTAGTAATAAGCCTGAGCTATTGGCCAAGCACTTAATAAGTCTCTGAGTAGTTATTCAGGAAGCAGCTGGCAGAACAGAGCTAATTGAGGCCTGATGAAAATCTCCACCTACAGGCAAATGTTTTGCTAAAATAAGTATAAAATTCAAGAAATTTTAATTGTGATGCTAAAAGCATTTGACTGAGGGCTGAAGAGATAGCTCAGTAAGAGCACTCACTGTGTTCTTACCTGGGTTTGGATTCCTAGCACATGTGTTAAAATCCAGGGATGGCCACGTTTGTATCCCTAAGCCAGCACTGTGGGGTCAAGACAGGAGGATCATGGGGCTTCCTGGCTGCCAGGCCAGCTCCAGGTTCAGTGAGAGACTTTGTCTCAAGGGAATAAGATAGAGAGTGACAGAGCGGATACCTAGTGAACTCCTCTGGCCTCCACATTTATGTTTAGGAGTGTGCGCTAACACCTCTGTCTCTCACACGCACATAATCAAAAACAAATCCCACATATAAACACATTTGACTTGGGCTACAAAGATAGCTCCATTGCTAGAGTGCTTGCCTAGCATGCACGAGGCCCTGTACTCAGTCCTGGTACTGCAGAACCGCAGTATGGTGGTGCATGCCTATAATCCCAGCACCCGGGAAACGGTGGCAGGAGGATCAGGAGTTTAGGTATATTGTGACTTCCAGGTCAGCCTGGGCCACATGGGACCCCGACTAGGATTTTCCCTGTTTTAACTCCAGTTGGGTATGATATTGAAGGTCGATAATTGTAGCCCTAGAGAGGCTGAGGCAGGAAAACAGAATCTGAGGCCAGCCTAGGCCACACAACAAGCCTCTGTCTCAACCTGCCTTTCCCCAACCAAAAAGAAAGAAATGAGGGAAAAGGCAATGCTCTGTGAACTAAATCAAAGCTATTAACTACGAGATTTTATGAAGATGAGGAGTCTAGTTTGAATTTGCTCTTGAGGTTTTGAATCGATAAATTGTATGTGACTTGTCTTGGGACTGAGAAATTGCTCTTTTCTCTATGCCAGTCTGAACCGGTGATAAAAAGCAGGGCCTAAGTGTCCTACAGTCCTCATGGAATAATAGATTGGCTATGAAGCATATCCTAGTATATTTTCTATATATCAAAATTATACAGTTTAATGAGAAGTCTTTTTCCTGACTTACCCACAGATAGATGTGCCCATAAGACTGAGATGCAATTATGAGATGACATGTACAAACTACATGAAAATGCGTGGCAATGGGGAGATTCCACAGCTGTTTTTGCACATGTGAATTTACACACATAAGTCAGGTGGTTTCCAGAGCCAATGGTCCCGAAAGCCTTGCTTGCATAGGGTTCTCTCCATCAGAGAATTACTCATCTGGTGGGTGGGCATCTGAATTATCAGTTACCATCTGCTGCATTTGTGTCGTGGCCCACGACGGCTCGTGACATACAGCAGTGCCTGAGACCTTTAAACATGAGTGAAAATGAGGACACGACCGCTCAGGGAACATCTGGAAGAGTCCAGATTGAACCTGGCCATGGACAAGGAGAGAGTGAGAGAGGAAGAGAGGGCAAGGGAGGAACAGAGGGCCTAGGACCAAGAGAGCATGCGGCTGAAAAGAGAAGCTAGGGGACGCTCAGCTCAGCCCCTGGGTTCAGGGTAGGGAGAGGAGAACCGGGAGCAGCCACAGGTGGTACTTGTCCCAGGTCTCTTTGGAGCCTGACAAACACCGCTTTTGCTGTCTGGTCGTACATATGGGGGTCCTGTACTCCTTCACCATCTGTGAGGGGCCCACATCGCTCCACTGGCAGGGGGCCTACAGAGGTTAACCTGTAGACCAGAGGTCTGTGTCTCCGGACTTGCCCAGCCAGCAGCTCCTTAGAAGCCACTGCAACCTCAGGCGGCCTAACCGGAACAGAAACACTGTAAAGGGGCCTGCTGCCAGGCCGCGTCATCAGCACCAAGCTCAGCCAGCAGTCGTATTCAGGAAGCCATAGCTTTGCTCTGCGCCCGGACTCGCTGTGGACGTGTGTGGCCGCTCCCCTTTAGTCTGAGCCTAGCCGATGGTCTCTTCTCCGTTCCGGGATGAGCTGGGGGGGCTGTGGACGTATCTATCTAGCCGGAGCCTGCAAAGAGAAAGTGGGCTGCAGGCAGGACAGACAGCCCGCAGAGCGAACGGAAGGCAGCGGAGCAGTGGCGGCTCACACTTCCCGGGCAGACCAGCAAGCAGCCAGAGCCGCAGAGGACACAACTCCCAGCACGCCCCGCGCCGGCCACTCCCAGAAGGCCCCGCGCCGCCGCTCAAGGGGCGGGGCCTTCTCGGCTCGCCGCGCGCGCGCCTTCCGCGCCCAGAAGGCGGCTCAGGCCGCGTAGAGGGCGTGGCCTGTACGGCTCCCTCGCCCGCCCACTCCCAGAAGGCCGCGCGTCGCGACGGGGAGGCGGGGCGCTCCCGGCGTGCTCTACGGCGGCCGCCGCCCGCGGGGTTTGAATCGTGCTCTCCGGCGTCCGGGCGGTGGTTCACGGCGGCGGCTGCAGGGGCAGCGTCATGGCCGCTCCGGCTCTGCCCCCGACCTGGCAGCTGTATCTCATGAACCACCGCGTGTCCACCTTCAAGAACTGGCCGTTCCTGGAGGGCTGCTCCTGCACCCCGGAGCGGGTGAGCTCGCCCCGCCTCGGGACGCCAGTGCCCCAGCTTTGGAGCGACTCCTGCCCGGGCCTGACGGCGGGAAGGGTTGGGCCCCGGGTCAGGAGCCCCACCCTCGCTTCGCACTGTGGGCTAAGCTGCTTTGCTCTGCCCAGGACACGGGACAACTGCCTTGTCCTCGGCGAGGCCGCCCCACTTCTCCCCATCCTTCTCCTTCTGTCTGAGCCGCTAAGGCTGTGGGCCCCACTGTCGTTAGGTCCCGTAGACACGGCCTCTTTCCACTCTCTCCAAAGAGGCCGCCCCAGCTCTCGGCCCGGAACGACTTCTGGGAATGATAGGATTAAAGCCAGGCTGTTGATTGTACTCACGAGCTGTGCTGTCGTTTTCAGATGGCGGAAGCTGGCTTCATCCACTGCCCTACCGACAATGAGCCTGACTTGGCCCAGTGTTTTTTCTGCTTTAAGGAGTTGGAAGGCTGGGAACCAGATGACAACCCTCTGTAAGTCTCAGCAGGTTACTCGCAATGGATTTCCTGGTGCCCTGGTTCCATTGGGAACCTTTTGAGTTGAACTGGAGTTGGGGTAAAAACAAAAAACATTTTAATTTAGTAGGAGGAGAGCATGGTCTTCTAACTTGCTGTGTGTTCCAAACTGTTCTTGAACCTGTTACATAGCTCAGACTAGTCTTGAATTTTCAGTTTCTGCCTAAGTTTTTCTAGTACTGCCAACTTGGATGGTTTTTGTCTGCTGAGATATTTGTATATTTGAGGGGTATGTAGCTCTGGTTATCCAGGAGCTCCTTCCAAATACCAGGATGGCTTCAAACTCACAGAGATCCACCTGCCTCTACCTCCCGAGTGCTGGGGTTAAAGGCGTGCACCACCACTGCCTGGCCCGCAGGAGATATTTTAAGATTTGTTTTTTTTGTTTTGTTTGGTTTTGGTTAGCGCACACATGTGTGTCTTAGTTTCTGTTCTGGGTGTGGGCGTCAGAGCCCTAGGAGCTGGAGTTATAGTCAGTTACGAGATATGTGGTGTGCTGGGAACTAAAGACAGGCTCTGCAGAAGAGCAGCAAGGACTCCTAACCGCTATCCCCTCTCCAGCCACAGATTTTTGTATATATTATTATTACTTTATGTTTTGTTTCATGTGTGTTTGGATGCTGGTGTCATGGTGAGTGTGGGTGTCAGGACAACTTTGGGGAGTCAGTTCTCTGCTTCTACTGTGTGGGTCCCTGGGATTGAACGCGAGCAGGTTTGGCAGCAAGCATCCCCACCTCCTGAGCCATTTGGATGGCCCAGATTTTAAAGGGATTTGACATGCAATTCCTTTTATTTAATTTTTATTTATTTTTTTAATTTTTAAATTTGTGCATATGATTGTTTCGCCTGCATGTATGTCTGTACACCATGTATGTGCCTGGTACCTTCAGAGGGCAAATCCCTGGAACTGGAGTTACAGATGGTGAGAGCTGAAGGGGACTCCCACACAACAGGGTCTTCCTAGACCCTGGATTAGGCACAGACCACACCCATACCACCTGTTTTCACGGAGCTCCTTTATTAAACAGAAGAGAAGTTACAGTGGCTGCTTTCTGACTAGGCAGAAAAACAGCAAATGACCTTGCAGGGGTTTTTTGTTTGTTTCTTTTTTTGGTTTTTTGAGACAGGGTTTCTCTGTAGCTTTGGAGCTTGTCCTGGAACTCACTCTATAGACCAGGCGGGCCCTGGACTCAGATCCTCCTGTCTCTGCTGGGATTAAAGGTGTACGCCACCACCGCCTGGGGAGGTCTGTGTTAGAAAGGGCTAGGATGTAGTGGTGAGGAGATAGAAAAGAGGGAGAAGGGAAAGGGGCAAAGGCAGAGGGCAGGGGTATCTGCGCGGGACAAAGGACTGCCTGGATAGGGAGGAGACTGTCGGGCACAGTTTATAAAGGTAAAGGGGCACTCGGTGTTAGGATGAGGGGTTTAAAATTGGGAAGTTAATTAGGGGAGCCAGAGGGGACTTTTGATAGCTGGACTTCGGTGGTCTGCCTCGGAGGAGGAAGTGGTTAAATGAGGGAATAGCTTGGGGGCCAGCTTTAGAGATGTAATCTAATGGATTTTAGCAAGGCAGAGGGATGGGGGAGAAGGGCAAGTCCTGCCAGAGCCATGTTTGCCAGGATCAGGCTGGCTACAGTCCCTTCAGGTGCTGGGATCCAAACCCAGGTTCTGGGAAACCAGCCAGTGCTATTAACCATGAGCCATTTCTCCAGCTTTTCTTCTGAATTTGAATCATACAACGTTTTGTACTGATTGCTAAAGACTCCAGAAGAGAAGCTAGGTTGTGCGGGGTGTTCCTGGGATACATTTTGGACCTGATACAGAGCAGGGTGTGCCAAGGACAGCCATGATGATGGGAGATGGGCTGTCAGTGATGCACAGCCACTGGCTCTTCTGACATGATGGTTTATTGATTTTTCTAGAGAGGAGCATAAAAAGCACTCGCCTGGGTGTGCCTTCCTGACTGTCAAGAAGCAGTTTGAAGAACTAACCCTCAGTGAATTCTTGAAACTGGAGAAAGAAAGAGCCAAGAACAAAATTGTATGTATGGTTGAGAGTAAGGACAGAGAACAAAGCCACTTCCCCCAAAGCCCTGCAGGCCCTGCCTCAGGAAGTGCTCCCACCCCTGGGGAGCATGTGCAGCTAGATAGACAGGGGCTGTGCAGTCAGAAGACCTGAGTAGGATCACCTCCCCTGAGTGGCAACCATTGCGGGAAGCTGTGGGGACAGGCTGACCCTCCTGTGGTGGCAGCAGTGTGGGTAGAGTTGGCTAAGGGGGCAGAAGCAGAGGACCAGCTGAGCTTTGCTGCTTGTCCATTCATGTGGAGTCCCTGGGAGGGCAGGTGGCATCGTGAATCCACAGGGAGGAGGCTCCCGTGCAGCCAAGCCTGAAGAGTTCAGTTGGCCAGAGTCCGTGCGAACACACCATAGTTTGCTTAGATGGTTCACTGCTTATCTGACGTTCAAATTTCACCAGGTAGCCCGTGTCCTTATGTGTTACACTTGGCAGCCTTTTAGGGGGAAGATTCTGGGAGGGGCTTACTGGCAGAGCACTGAGAAAGAGCCAGATGCTCTGCCCTGACCCTGATGCTGGAAGGCCAGCTGCTAGCTGGCCCTAGCCCTGGCCCTGGTCCTGGCATTGTTCTGTGTTGCAAGGCAGAGGCTAGGACCTGCTGTGATGGTTATGAAGTTTCTCTTCAGTTCGTAAGCTGTGTTCCTTGGTGGAGGTCGTTATGAAATAGCTGGTGACAGTTTGTTGTCAGGAGGAGGGATTGATTGGAGCATGCTCAGACACTCTGGGGATGCAGCTCCTACTCCCTAGTATTCATTTTTGTTACTGATTTTTTTTTTTCTGAAGTAGAGTTGTGTTTAATAAAGATATTTAATACAAGTTGGGCACAGAGTCAAGAGAAAGGCACTCAGAAGAAAAGACACCACCCAGTGTCCTAACTTCGGAACTGTCTCTCCAACTCAACCTTTGTTTTTTGTTGGTTTTGGGTTATTTTGGGCTTTTTTTTTTTTTTTGTTTTTTTGTTTTTTTGTTTTTGAGATAAGGCTTCACCACGTAGCCCTGACTGCACTGGGACTCTCTGTTTAGACCAGACTGGCCTTACCCTCCGAGAGCCACCTGACTCTGTCTCCCAAGGGCTGGGATTAAAGGCCTGCACTGCCATTTATTTATTTAGACTTTATTTTATGTGTGTGTGTGTGGGGGGGTGTTTTGCTTGTGGAGGTCAGAGAGAGCGTTGGCTTCACTAGAACTGGAGCTACCTATGGTACCGGGAATCCAATCTGGGTCCTCCGAAGACCAGCCAGTGCTCGTTACCCGAGCCCTCTGCAGCTCCCTGTGGGGCTATGGAGTGCCCACCACAAGGAGCACAGCCATTTTCCAGGACTTTTTGTTGTCAGTTTAGTATTTTTAAATTAAGTTCTCTTTAACCCTGGCTTGGTGGTATAGGGGACAATTCTAGGGCGCAGTCTCCACTAATTTGGTTGGGTGAAGGAGGGGGATTGTAAATTAGAGGCTATCCTGGGCAACATGAATCCCTATTTCTTAAAAAAATAAAGCAAGACAGAACTTGGGGGTATTTGCTTATTATGCATAAGACCCTAGGTTCAATTTCAAGCTATACACAAATAGTAACATTCCTTTTAGTAATTATTGTACTTAATTTTGTCACGCTGGTAATGGAACGAGGGCTTCACTCTTGTCTGACAAGCCCCTCCCCCTAGGCCACTCCAGGCCAATGTGTATGTTCATTATTGCAGGCAAAGGAGACCAACAGCAAGCAGAAAGAATTTGAAGAAACCGCAAAGACCATCCGCCACTCCATTGAGCAGCTGGCTGCCTGGCAGTGAGCCTTTGCTGGAGACCTGGGCCCGAGTGACATGCCACATTGGAGCCACGTGTCCCAGCTGGTATTTTAAAGCTGGGAAGTGGCTCAGCCCGTGTGCCTGCCTCTCTTGATATTTTCGCTTTGCTCTGTTGTCACCTGGACTGAAGCAGTGAGGAAAGGAGTGGGTGAGGAGGCAGGCAGTCTCCAGTAACAGGACCTATGGCGGGGGGGGGGGGGGGGGGGGGGGGTCTGGTCTTGGCGTCTCCATACTGGTAGCTAGCACGACTGTGTGCCATAGGTGTGGTGATGTGTTGTGCTGGAGATTCATCTGTCCTGTGATGTGAGTTTTCTACCGCAGGGTAATGGAATAAAATCATCAAAAAGCGGATTGCAAACTCTGTCTTGGGAAAATGGCTTGTTTGTTTTTTTGTGGCATTATTGAACTCGATCCTGCTGCCCTACCTCCCAGGTACCGCTGCACTCGGAGCTTATAAATTCAGTGGTGTTTAAGCTGCAGTCCCTGCTTGAGCTGCAGAGCTGGACAGTTGTAAAGGCACTGGGGTTACAGCGTGATTCCAGTCGGTAGGCTTTTGTTTTCCTAATGAAGCCCCTGCAAGGAAGGTGCGATGGTTGTGTTATCCACCTGGCAGGTCTGGAGTCGGCCAGGAGGTGATGGGCCTTTGGGCATCATTGTGATCACACTAACTGATGTGGGGTCCTGGAGAGCTGAGCATCAGGTTCATCATTTTCCGTTTCCCGACCTGCCGGACTGCACCTTGAGCTGTGAGCACAGGAAACTCCTCCCTTCGAGTGCTTTCATCAGAATATTTCCACACATCAAGACATCCATTCTGGTGACCTCCCCGAGGCCTTAGGACAGCTCTGTGCAAATAAGGGGACTGTGACACACAGTAGGAGCTGGGTCTCTGTCTGTTCCCACCTCACCACACAGAAATTGGAGAGTAGAGGGGAGCAGAGCTAACGCAAGGTGTGAGAGCTCATGAAGGCCACGGGCAAGCACAGCCTGGTGGGTGGCCAGCCCCACTTCTCTCAGCACTGAGCACCTTCTGTCTCTGGAGCCCGCACACCTACATAGTTCCTGCCCACTGGCACAGTCGATGGGGCTCATCAGATCTCAGCAGGGAGGGATCAGACCCCATCTCCTGAAGTCAGCTTACAAAGTTCCTACTCGCTTTCTGAATACCAAGGAGGTGCTAGAAACATCTTTCCCACAGCAAAGCCCTGGCTGGCGGCAGGCTCCCTGGGCAGCTGTCTAGACGTGGGTCCTGGCCTCTCACACCTGTGCTGTTGGCTCTGTTCTCTAACTCTTCCAGTTCCTCTGGCCAGCTCAGCAAGTGGCGCCTCACAGACCTGTGGGTTCCACTTGGTTTGGGACCGCCCATCCCAGTTACTGTCCCCTGGTTGTGGTCACATCTCAATGGATCCAGCCAAGTGCTTCCTTAGCGTGTGTGAGCAGAGGCTTAGCTGCAGTCTTGTTTATCTAAGGAAGATGAAAAGCTGTGTTTCTAGCCTTTGCATCTTCTGGGCTTAGCCAGCTGCATCCTGCAGAATGGGCCCGTTGGGCAGTAATTTGAGGTTCTTCTGAGGGAGGATGTTTGCCAAGCTCAGTAAAATAAGCTATCGTGTAGCTGATGCCCAGCTGCTGGAGGGTCATTTAGCTGACAGTTCTGATTGCTTCTCCAAACTCAGGCTGAAGACAACAGTCAGAGTTAGCCTGGGGCAGGAGGCTCATCAGCCAGATGGCTACCCCTAGAAACAGACTCCTGTTCCAGCTGTGAATGTGACCTAGTTAAGAGGCTTGGATACAGCCTTGCTTTTGTTACTCAAGATTGGACGTCTTCCCCCAGAAGCCCACCTGTCTGATGTCTGCGATGATGGATCTTGCTGGCTTCGAAGAGTCTCTGGCAGCCAGAGGCCGGCGCATGGCCTGCCTTCTATGGCTTACACATTTGATGAGACAAGTAACAAATATTGGGTCGTTCTAAAGCAGCACCTTTTCAGACTGTGCCCGGTGTCTCTTGGGTCCAGTTGGGAAAGTACGCTGGCAAGATTCATTAGAGCCGTCCTTCAGGGGCCAGTGCCTGCTGCCCTGAAGACAATCAGTGACTTCCGCTGCACAGAACCCAGGGTTAGAAGTGAAGTGGGTATGGACTGCCCAGCAGGGTGCTTCCAGCCCCTTCAGCTTGAGGGAAATAGTTCAGGGATGCTGTGGGTGCCTCTTACTGTCACTTCCCCGGGGTAGCAGTGGCCCGGGCATGGCTGTTGCCTACCTGAGATGGAGCAGGAGCATGAACCTTTGCAAAGCAGCTCAAAGGCAGGGGGCTCGATGGGAGGGAGACAGGACCACCGTGTCCATAAAACGACATTTTCTAGAAAAGAAGCCTTTGTCAGACAGAAAGCAAGACTGGTTCCTGCTGTATCGTTGCCCTGTGGGATGACAGCTAAGGGGCCTCAAGTTTGCATGATTTGTGCTTCCTCCTCGGCTGTAATCAGAGTTTGGGTTGGGCGGGAGAGTCTCCCTTCTCCTTCTGCCTTGGGAAGGCTGCTGCTCTCTGAGCACCCACTGGGTTCTCAGTCTTTCCCAGTCATCATGCCAGAACAGGGGTGTCTACAGGACAGGGCCAGCTGCAGGGGTGTCACACAGCAGATGCAGGCAGGGATGGCCTGGTGTGCACGCAGAAAGAACAGCTCACAAAATACTGGAAGAATTCTGTGCTCTGTCTGAATTCCACTGGGAATATTGTTTTTTTTTATTATTTATTTATTATGTATACAATTTTCTGTCTGTGTGTATGCCTGAAGGCCAGAAGAGGGCGCCAGACCTCTTTACAGATGGTTGTGAGCCACCATGTGGTTGCTGGGAATCGAACTCGGGTCCTTTGGAAGAGCAGGCAATGCTCTTAACCACTGAGCCATCTCTCCAGCCCTGGGAATATTGTTTTAATAACTTTGGTAAGATTGCTTTTATCTGAGGATATGTTCTTCAAGCCAAAAGCTTAATAGAGAAATATGTATCTCTAAACAGTCCAAGTAAGGGCTTGGCTGACCTGAGTCACGCAGCTCCTGTGTCTGCAGCTCTGGCCATCCCAGGGGTGTTTATATAGGTGTGCGCCCTGTGAATGAGTGTCCTGTAGGTGTACGCCCTGTGAATGAGTGTCCTGTAGGTGTGCGCCCTGTGTGTTCTCTGTGAGTACCCTGTAGGTGTGTGCCCTGTGAATGAGTGTCCTGTAGGTGTGCGCCCTGTGAATGAGTGTCCTGTAGGTGTGTGCCCGGTGTGTACCCGGTGTGTGCCCTGTGGTTTAGTGCCCTGTGAATGAATGTCCTGTAGGTGCATTTCCTGTAGGTGTGTGTATGCCCTGTAAGCAAGTTGCACAGAAACAATGCTTTTTCTCCCTGCTGTGGGGAGCTTATCCCACTAATCCTCAGAATTGATGAAAATCAGGACTTGAAGTTGAGATGCGGCACATCCCGAGTCGTCCCTAAATGTGCCCACCCGGGCCTGTCTGCACCCCACCCCAATCCCGCCATTCTAGGAGCTATTGGTGATTGGTGCAGTGGTCCAGGCACTGGCCGCGGCTGCTCATCCTCCTGGGGGCAGTCTCAGGCTGACCTCTGGTCCTATTAGCACCAACCACGGGGTGGGCTTGTGTCGACCAGTTTGTGGCAACATTGGGATTTGAACCCAGCTTTGTCCCCAGCTCTGCCACGACATTAGATTTCCCCTTCTCTTCTCTTACTGCCTGGCCAGCACAGAAAGGTACATCCATTTCCTTGCCTACTTGGCCAGTCACAGTGGCAGGAAAGCCTCAGTAGCTGAAGAACCTCGGACAGCGTCCCCCCCCCCCCCCTGCCCGCTTCTGCCCTCCACCCACCTCTGCTCCTAGTCAGCCTGCCCTTCGTCACCCCTCCCACGCCCTCTCCTGCTGAGACTTCTACTCCCACCGCCTAAACCCTCATTAGCCTGGATCAATTCTGTCCTGAACCCTGACTGCCCCAACCCATAGTTCTCCTTGTCCCTGGCTCCCTCACCCGCCACAGCCCATCCGTAGATCCGATTTCCGCTGGACCCTGCATCCCTACCCGGCGGCTGACCTGCTCTTGCCGGTATGGCCCTTCTGGCCGCCTTGTTCCTGAGCGCAGCCCTTGGCGCCCTGCTCAGCTTTGCACTGCTGGCAGCTGCGGTCGCCAGCGACTACTGGTACATCCTGGAGGTGGCGAACACCGGCGGCTCCCGTGGCGGCGCGCCGCTGCAGCTCTCCTCGCATTCTGGGCTCTGGCGCACCTGCGAAGGTGAGCCGCTCCTGGAGACTTGCCCGGCCCTCCCGTTCCCTTTCCTCCCACCTGATCCACGGCCATTCCCGCCCTCCTGCCCCTGTAACTCCCTCCTCCTAAGCCTCTGTGGCATCTTGGTCTGCTCCTCAGGGAGTCTCTCAGTCCCAACCCCATCACAGTCGCCCCTCAAATTGCTGGGTGACAGCTGGGCTGCGAGGATTTGAGGAAGCCCAAAGACAGAGTTCTGCCATTATGGCCATGGGTGGGAAGTAGAGGGGGGCTGGCCTATGCTTCCTTAAGTTCCTAAAAGGTTTCTTCTGGGGCCTGGCGGGAAGGTGTCATTGGAGGATAACTGGTCAGGTGAACCAGGGCTCTGCACCTTGCTTCTGAGGAATTTGACAGTTTGTACTTCTTAGCCCAGGTCTAGGTGTCTCCATGGAGGTCAAAGGAAGAACACCAGAGGCTGGGGTCCAGCTGCCAGTCAAGAATTAAATAAGATTTCAAGGCTATGGCACCCGTGTTGCCCAGCACCCATTTGTACCTTGACTTTCAGGGCAGAACAGCTGTGTGCCGCTGATTGACCCGTTTTCCAGTGACAGCTTGGAGACTTCTCCCTCCTTACAGCATCTTCTCTGTGAGTCCTGGGCTGGTGCCATCTCTGCTCTCAAGGTCTGGGACCAAACCACCCTATCCCAGCCACCTCCCCCCAGCCCATCCAACTGCTTCTGAGGCCTCGGGGACCCGAAGGGTCTGGCCATCACAGCCTCCTGACCACAGATGCCGGAATCCCAGTCTGCCCACTCCTCCTCATACTTCAGTTCCCTTTCAGTGAGGACGCGAGCGGCTCAGAGAGTGATGAAATCTCACAGGGCC